TCCATTAAAAAAAGCACACATAATTAGAAATCTTTGGTCTGTGTAACACCTAACACCATCAGTGGTGTCACTAGTCAGTCCATACCTCCACTCCCTTGAGAACCACTGGGAATAGTGATGACTTCGCTGTGAAATCTCAGAAGACGTAAAGTCTATAAGAAAGAACTTTTTGTGACTTCTAACTCCTCATGCCTAGACACATGCTAAGAAATGGTTACATACATTCTTTATCAGATTTGTGGGTTACACAAATCCTAGTCTCAATTTTTTCCTCTTAAGATAATGACATGCTTAAAAATTTGGTATTCTATTCATCAAAATCCCTTAAAAGTCAAAATAAGACAGTGGTTTATTTATCTAGCTGTCAAACATTGGGAATAGTGAAGGAGAGTTTCAGAGCCTATTTTGGGCTTAAACCCACAAAGACTGCTAAGAAAAAGAGGTTTTGATTGGGTAGAAAAATCTCTAGGAAAATGTGGGCCATGTGAAATCTCTTTAAGGTCAGGATTCATATCTTATACCTATTCTGTGCTAGCTTGGTGTTCTGTACACAGTTGGTACTCTTGTATATTTATTGAAAAAAAGACTAAATAAATGAAGACTGGAATGTGTCAGTGAAAAGAGGACATCAGCAGATGATGCTTGTTGGATATTTCTAGAAAATTTCATTTGTCAACAATGTTTTTAAGGATCTGAAAGCCCAGATGCAGGAGGCCATGACCCAGGAGGTGTCGGATATTTTCAGTGATACCACAACTCCCATTAAGCTGCTGGCAGTGGCAGCCACTGCGCCCCCTGATGCTCCTAATAGGGAAGAGGTGAGTATCTGATCTTTTCCGTTTCTTCTGATGGGCTGCCTTGTCTGTATTGTTGTTAGGTTCCATCTAGTTGGGTCCACCTGAGTGTGAACTTGTGTGTAACAAAAACAAGTGTTACTTGGCCCTACACCATGCAGTTGATACTGCTGTTGCTATGTTTTGAGTCTGTTGATTCAGTGACCAGGTCAGTATGTCTCATTGAAGGACTCCCTTTCTCACCTAATCCTCTGAATTGTTGATCGAATGTCTTTCTCTGGTGATTAGTCCCTCCTGTTGACACATCCGATGTCAACCAGCAAAGTTTCACCATCTTTGCTTCTAAGGTGAATCCTAGCTTCTTCTCTCAGGAAAAATTCATGATATATTCAGTAGTCATAATCTGAAAATTCAGATGCATCAATTCTTTTCGGTTATCATTTTTATTGTCCAGCTTTTGCATGAATATGAGATGATAGAAAATAACATCACTTGGGCTCAGGCACTCTTTAGTCATTGAAATAACTTGACTTTGAAACACTTTAAAGAAGTATTTTATAGATTTGTCCAATGTTATTGTTTAGCTACACATTTATGCATGCATACTTGTATATGTGTGCATATATTTGTGTGTATATATGAGAATATTGACACACTTCAACAAAAGAGGCTGCCCTGGACTTGCTCACCAAGTTGTGCCAAGAAATCTGGAGGAATACCAGCTGGCCAACTGACTCGAAGAGATCTATATTTGTTCTTATTCCAAAGAGAAGTGACCTGACAGAGTGCAGTAATTATTGAACAATATCATTATTATCATATGCAAGCAAGATTCTGTTGAAAATTATCCAAAAATGACTGAAACAGCACATCAGCAGAGAACTGCCAGAAGTGCAGGCTGTGTTTAGAAGAGGCTGTGGGATATTACAGCTAATGTTAGACAGGTCTTGGCTGAAAGTAGGAAGTCCCAGAGGAATGTCTATTTGTGTTTCATTGCCCATGCAAAGGCATTTGACTGTGTAGATCACAACAAATTGTGGCTGACTCTGAGAAGCATGGGAATCCCAGAACACTTGATTGTGTTTATGTGAAACCTATAATTGGATCAGGAGCGAGTTTAAATTTGGGAATGGTGTATGCCAGGGATGTGTTCTATTTATAGGCAGAGCGGATTATCAGGAAAGCTGGGCTATCTAAGAGGAGAAATGTGGCAACAGGATTGGAAGAAAACTCATTATCAACCTACATTATGCAGATGACACAACCCTGTTTGCAGAAACTGAGGAAGACCTGAAATGTTTGCTTCAGAAGGTCAAGGACTGCAGCCTTCAATATGGATTGAAGCTCAACATCAAGAAAACAAAGATTCTCACCACTGGGCCAATTGGCAGCATCATAATAGGTGGTGAAGAGATTGAGATTGTTAACAGCTTTCGTTTGCTTGGTCCACAATCAACACTCTTGGTACCAACAACCAGGAAATGAAAAGATGAATTGCATTGGGAAAGTCTATTATCAGAGACCTCTCCAAAGTACTGAAGAGCAACAGTGTCAGTCTGGAGACTAAGTGCTCTTGATACTGGCCGTAGTCTTTGCAGTTACTTGCTATGCATCAGAGAGTTGGATGCTGACTAGGCATGATAGAAGGAGAATTGATGCCTTTGAGTTGTGGTACTGGAGCAGAGTATTGAATATACCATGGACTGCGAGGGTGAGACTGGGCTGCACTATGGAGTCAAGGATTCTGAAGCTTCGTCTGACATACTTTGGACATGTTGCAAGGAGGGACCAGTCCTTAGAGAGGGACATCATGCTTGGGAGGGTGGAGGGACAGAGAAAGAGAGGAAGACCCTTGATGAGATGGATTGATTCAGTGACAGAGGTAATGGGAATAGGTGTGTCAGAGGCAATAAGATTGGCATAGGATAGAGCAAGGTTTAGGGCTGTTGTACATAGGGTTGCTTTGAGTCGATTTGACAGTACATAACAACAAAACATATGTAAGATGATGGTTGTGCATATCTAGGGCAGTGGATAGAAGGATATGGGTGAAGGGGTGAAGGATGAAGGCTTACCATTTTGTATCATCAAGGATGTTGGTTCAAGAATGGCAAGAAATATAGGCAATGAAAGAGTTTATTATCAGACCAAAGGAAACAATTAGGGGTTAACTTTTTACTCAGAACAAGAAACCTGGAGGTTGGCCCAGTATTGTCAGAACTAACATCTCAGTGCTTTCTTAGGTTCTGTTTGTTGTTTTTTAAATGGTTTTAAGGGGGCTGTTGCAACCCACGCTATCTGGTTGAAGGCTGGAATTGTGAAGGGAGAGATGCCTCCAATGCCAGTCAATTATCTCTTTTATTAGGGTAGTTTATTCTCAACACATAAGTCAGAATGACCCTTTACTTGACTTGGTATCATTGTGCCACTACAACCCCTCTCTTGACTCCCTGTTTCAGAGTACAATGAGAGTCCCTCCAATGACCAGCCAAGTTAGAAATTTGCTGGCAAGCCAGTTCTTGAGGGGGAGGGAAGTCAAGTTAGGAAAATAGAATTCATTTGGTTCTTGCAAAGAGGTGTATAATTTGCTATAAACTAGCTTCTGCACCCCCTGAACATGGCTCTCCACAGTCTTGTCCCCCATCTACTTCTCTGACCTCATTTGGTATCATTTACTTCAAGTTCTTCTCCTACTTTGGGCACCTCATGTTTTATACCTAGTTATCTCACATTTGTTAGAAGGTACTTGTGCTTGTTAACAAGTATACAGATGTAACACTCGGTGCTTGTTCCCTGTGGTCTTCCCTCAGATGATACTTTTCTTAGCAGGTGCCATCGAGTCAGTCCTGACGGGCCCCTGTGTACAGCCCACTGCCCTGTTCTGTGCCATCCTTAACAATCACTGTTGTGCTTGGCATCCTTTTGGAGCCAGTGTGTCAGTCCATCTCATCGAGGAGCTTTCTTTTTCCTCTGACCCTCTACTGTACCTAGCAACATACTGATCAGAACTGGCCCTGTCCCTTAGAAAAACTGCATGTATCGCTCACTTTCTTCTCATATAAGCTATCGGTGATCACCTTCTATGAAAGAGCAACCATATCCCAATCCCAGACATTCCCTATTCTTCATGTCCCGCTTTTCTCCTTAGCATTTATCAGCATTTGACATACGTTTACCTGTTGTGTGTGGAGTTTTGTTGTTGTTGTTGTTAATTTATCTCCCTTTCCTTAGCATGAGAGCTCCATGAGGACAAGGACTGTTCTGTCACTGTTTTCTTACTGTTCCCAGAACAACATCTGCTGTCCCATTGGTGCACACTAAATATTTACTGTTTTATGAAAAGGAAGAATCCCTGGAAATCTTCTCTGGAAACCTCTGTTTACATCTCATATTCTGGCAGTGTTGTACATGGCCATTGTTAGATACAAAGGAATTTAGGAAATTGATGATTTTGTTTTCTAGTCTTTACAACATTAGAATCAACAAAAGAGAAGAGGTTTGGAGATACTTGCTGAGTCAGGCACAAAAGACAGTGCAGAACTGGGGGCAGAGGTTTCTGCTATTCTATTTCCCTCGCCCTGGTTACTGGGCAGTTCAGCTCTTGGGACCCTCTAGCTGCAATGATTTGCTCTTTTTTCAAACTAGTAGATCCAGATTTGCTGCTCATCTTTACCTAAATGCTTCATAGGTCCTTTAGCATATTTCATCTTTCTTCTTTCTCTCTTAGAAATGTAGAAATCACACTGATTTTTCTCTTACTCTCACCTTGCCATATCAGTGAGTAATTCAAGCCTAGCTAATTTGATCTCCCAAGTATTTATTTTTGTTTTTGTTCCCCCCCCCCCCTTAAATAGTTGTTTATTGGCAGTGGGTTGGAAAAGGTGATAGAGTTAGCAAACAAAGACACCACCACACACCAGTATCACAAGGGCAGTAAGAGTGATGGAAAGGAGCAGCCTGAAGCCCCAGATGAGGCCCTTCTTCTCAAGTGCTAAGTCTAAGAGGGCGCTGGGGTCTGGAGTGTCGAGGGGGCAGCCTTAGAACACCTCCACTTAGTAGGCATGGTTAGAGACGAAGAGGGACTCGCTGGCTGCGGCCCGGGCCTGACCACTTGGGTTGTACTTTCCTTGGCAGGCGAGGCTGTTGGCCAAGGCTCACTTGATATACTCCTCCTGGGCTGCCTTCAGATTCTCCTTCTTCCTACCCCAGGCCTTCAATGTAGAGGCCTGCAGGGCTTGGCCATAGGAGAAGGTCAGGGCCCATGACTTCAGCAGGGGGCACTTGTTGATGGCATTGAGGTTGATGGATGCCGCCTCCTCACTCTGGCCTCCAGACAGGAAGGTGATCCCAGTAACAGCGGGGGGCACTGTGCAGCGCAGTGCTTAACAGTTGCCATGGCAATATCCTCATGAGAAAACTTCTGTGTGCAGGCATGGCCGGGGGTTACCATGTTAGGCTTCAGCAAAGTGCCTTCCAAATAGATGTGGTGGTCACTCAGAGCCTTGTAGACGGCAGCCAGCACCTTCTCAGTTATATACTAACAGCACTTCAGGATATGGTCACCATCAGGGAGGATCTCAGGCTCCACAGTAGGCACAATCCCATTCGGCTGGCAGATGCTGGTGTAATGGGCCAGCACGTTGGCATTTTCCATGATGGCAAGGGCTGAGGGGGTGTGCTCTCCAATCTTCAGCACACAGTGCCACTTGGCAAAGTCAGCTCCATCCTTCTTGTACTGGGCACAGAGCTTGGGCAGCCCATCCAGGCCTTGGGTGGTAGTCTCACCATTAGTCCCTGCCAGGGATACCACGCTTTTGTCTACCTTGATGCCCACAACACCACCCTTAGTTTGATGACTTGGGGGAAGGGACTCCCATCATCCGCCTTCTGTTAGAGGGTCTCATGGAAGAGCATGATACCCCCGATGCAGGGGTTCACAGGTTGTCGGCGGTCAGCAGGAGCTAGAGGTAGAAGCACCGGTTCTCCTCGGTGTTCTCAGTTCCAATGGACTGCAGGTACTTGGCAATCCTTCCGGTGGACTCATCTGCGGCCAGGATGCCCTTGCCCGGAGCAATAATGCGATGAGCGATGTCAGAGAGCTCCTTCTTATGCTCCAGGGTCAGCGCAGGGTATGGGTAGGGCATGGTGTTCTCGGTGGTGATTTCCTGCACGGAGGCTGGAGGAGCTGGCGGGGGCCTGGTCAGCAACGCTAGTCTGATCTCCCAAGTATTTCTTGATGACTCCATTTTTTCCTACTAGCTCAGACCATTGTCTGCTGATGCTTGTCTGGTCTTAAATCTGCCACTAGGCTGCTATGTAAGGACCAGTGGTAATGTGAGGGTGGCTAAGTATGACTTCTACCCACTTCATGAAGGAGAACTGTCCCCATCAATAACACCCATAGTATCAAATAAATAGCTACTTGGGCAGATGTGCCACCCCACATTATCCTGCCCCTATTTCTTCCAGTCATTGGATCCAATGTTTGTTGCAAATTGATTCATGGACTTTACTCACAGTTGTAGGATTTATTAGGGAAATGGGTTGGAACCCATTACACAGTGGAAGTCCTGGTTCAGTGCTGAAGTCCTAAGCCAGATTAACAAGGCACAATTCCTCAGTTATTTCAGACAGCTTCTTGTTCAACAAGTGAAAGTCCAGGGTCAGTTCAGCGGCACAAATAAACCTCCGGTTTCTTCAGTCATCCAGCAAACTTTGTCTCATGGCAGTTATAAGTCAACTTTTCCATTAATCTTTCAATAAGCAAACCTTTAACTGTGGCTCCATCTCCAGGGTTCATCATGTTATAACTTGCCCCAATGTCTTCACAGAAGTGCCACAGTCTCTTCACCATCTGTCACAATTTCTTCGCCCTCTGTCCACCACTGTATCTCACAGTGTCCAAAGTGTTCTCTTATATTGGTCCCAAAGCTGTTGATGATTTGCAAGACCATATGCCCACAGTCAAAGTAGCTGGAAATTGTGACCTCATTGAGGGCTAATACAATGGATAGTAAAGCCAATTTTCAAGGTTTCTGATACCACAACCACCAATAATATACAAAATCTGTCACTGCTAAGACCCTTTAGTGTGTCTTCCTTTTCACCTCGGATATAGTGAGAGCTCTGTGATCTGGCTTTTCTCTGTACCTGTTTCCTCATAAACTCCTGCTTTGTAGTTCATGCCCAGTAATTCCTGATTGTTCAGGGGCTCCTCCTGCAGACTCTTTCTCTTCTTTGCCTTTGTTCTTTCTGTCTCTCTGATTAATTCCCTTTCCCACCATCTTTATTGACTAATTCCTACTTATTCCATTGTTCTTTGCTTTTGGATAGGGTATGTGACTTTTCTCCTGTAAATACCAGTGCTCAGCCCTATTAGTGTACTCAGTGTATTGTGTTACAAATATCTCTTTATAGGCATTTCCTCCTGTCCCACTAGCATATGAGCTTTTTTTTTTTGCATATGACCTTTTTGAGATGCAGAGATTATGTCTTATTCATAGTTACATCCTTAACAACCACCCCAGGGTGTGGCTTAGTAGGTGCTCAATACATTTTGTTCGAATACTGAGGATAAACAAGCTAAGCAGCCATTTAAAACAGAGGAAACAGCAGATGTGACTTGGGATCAAGATGGTCAGCCATAGTAGGCAAAATCCCTGTAGGCTGAGAATCTGAAAAATCAGATTGTACATGCCCAAAGTATGTCAGATGGAGCTTCAAAATCTTTGCCTCCAGGGAACAGCCTGGTTTCACCCTCTCCTGGATGAACATGTTTCTTCTCCTAGCAGTCCATGGTATATTCTACAGCGCCAAAACTCAAAGGCATCAGTTCTCATCCTTAGTCATTGTTCAGCTCTCTGATGCATAGCAAGTAATTGCAAAGACCAGGGCCTAGATCAGGTGCATTTTAGTCTCTAGAGTGACATTGATGCTCTTCAGGTACTCTGAAGAGGTCCCTGACAACAGATTTTCCCAGTGCAATTCATCTTTTGATTTTTTTTTTATCTTT